CGGCCCTTTCCCAAATCCCAGCCGAAATCCCAAATCCCGAAATTTCCCACGGGAATCCGGCGGCATTCCCAAACTCCCGACCCCTTCCCGCTCACCTCCTCAGCTTCTCCGGGCCCTCCTTTTCCCGCCTCCGCCATTCCCGGAGATCGGATTCCACCTGGACGTTGGTCACCAGCTGCGTCCCGTGGAACAGGAGCTTGGCCAGGACCTGCCGGGAATTCCGCCTTGGAATGCGCCGGTCCCGGATCCTCCCCGTCCCCGGGATGGGCGGGAATCCAATCCCAAGGATCCAGCTGGAATCCCCGTCCCTGGGAGCTCCTCTCCCGGTTTTTGGCCCGTCGAGGAGGAAAATTTGGGATGAGGAGGGATCCGAGGGGAAATTCCCGTCGGATCCCAAATCCCGATCCTGGAGTTTCTCTCCTGGATTTTTGTCCCACCGAGGATCCAAACAAGGGATCGAGGATGGATCCAAGAGGAAATTCCCATCGGATCCCAAATCCCAGGAGGAAAACAGGGATTTGGGATGGATCCAAGAGGAAATTTCCATCACATCCCAAATCCCGATCCTGGGGAGTTTCTTTCTTGTTTTTTTGTCCCATCAAGGCGACACCGAACAGGAAAACAGGGATTGAGGAGGGATCCAAGAGGAAATTCCCATCACATCCCAAATCCCAGAAGGAAAACAGGGATTGAGGATGGATCCAAGAAGAAATTCCCGTCAGATCCCAAATCCCAATCCTGGAGTTTCTCTCCTGGATTTTTGTCCCACCGAGGATCCAAACAAGGGATCGAGGATGGATCCAAGAGGAAATTCCCGTCGGATCCCAAATCCCAATCCTGGAGTTTCTCTCCTGGATTTTTGTCCCACCGAGGATCCAAACAAGGGATCGAGGATGGATCCAAGAGGAAATTCCCATCGGATCCCAAATCCCAGGAGGAAAACAGGGACTGGGGATGGATCCAAGAGGAAATTCCCGTCGGATCCCAAATCCCAGGAGGAAAACTGGGATTTGGGATGGATCCAAGAGGAAATTTCCATCACATCCCAAATCCCGATCCTGGGGAGTTTCTTTCCTGTTTTTTTGTCCCATCAAGGCGACACCGAACAGGAAAACAGGGATTGAGGAGGGATCCAAGAGGAAATTCCCGTCAGATCCCAAATCCCGATCCTGGAGTTTCTCTCCTGGATTTTTGTCCCACCGAGGATCCAAACAAGGGATCGAGGATGGATCCAAGAGGAAATTCCCGTCGGATCCCAAATCCCAGGAGGAAAACAGGGATCGAGGATGGATCCAAGAGGAAATTCCCATCCCAAATCCCGATCCTGGGGAGTTTCTCCCCCGGATTTTTGTCCCACTGAGGATCCAAACAAGGGATAAAGCCGGATCCAAGAGGAAATTCCCACCGATCCCAAGGATCCAGCCTCGATCCCAGTCCTGGGGAATTCCTCTCTTCTTTTTTGTCCATAAAAGAGCAAAACGAGGGATAGGGAGGGATCCAAGAGGAGATTCCCATTTTTTCCTCACCTTCCCGGTCTCCTGGATCAGCTTCAGGCTCTTCCTCTCCTCTTCCTTCTCCTCCTCCTCCTCCTGCTCCACCTTCTCCCCAAGGGCTTCCCTGGCAGGAAAACAGGGAAAAGTGGGAATATTTCCCACGCCAACCTCTCCCCAATGCTCGGGAAGGGCCTGGATCCCATCCCAGCGCGGAACGCCGGGATCTCTCTCGGGGGGGAGGGGGGTTCCCGTTTCCCCTCACTGTCCCGGTTCTCCTCACCGTCCCGGTTCCCCTCACTGTCCCGGTTCTCCTCACCGTCCCGGTTCTCCTCACCGTCCCAGTTCCCCTCACTGCCCTGGTTCCTCTCACTGTCCCGGTTCCTCTCACCATCCCGGTTCCCCCGTTCCTCACCAGTTCCTCTCACGGTCCCGGTTCTCCTCACTGGCCTGGTTGCCCTCACCAGCCCAGTTCCTCTCACTGTCCCGGTTCACCTCTCTGGCCCAGTTCTCCTCACTGGCCCGGTTCCTCTCACTGGCCCGGTTCCTCTCACTGTCCCGGTTCTCCTCACTGTCCTGGTTCTCCTCACTGGCCGGGTTCTCCTCACCGGCCCGGTTCTCCCGTTCCTCACCGGTTCCTCTCTCTGGCCCGGTTCTTCTCACCGGCCTGGTTCCCTGTTCCTCACCGGTTCCCCTCTCTGGCCCGGTTCTCATTGCCCTGGTTCCCCTCACCAGCCCAGTTCCTCTCCCGGTCCCGGTTCTCCTCACCGGCTCAGTTCTCCTCACTGGCCCAGTTCCTCTTACGGTCCCGGTTCCTCTCATGGGCCCGGTTCCCCTCACCATCCCGGTTCCCCTCACTGGCCCGGTTCCCCTCACGGTCCCGGTTCCCCGGCCCGGTTCCTCTCACGGTCCCGGTTCCCCGGCCCGGTTCCCCGGCCCTCACCTGCGCCGGGCATCGAGGCGGTTCCGACGGGCGGCGATTCGCTGCTGCCGCTCCCAATCCGCCCCGGACTCGGGTTCGGGCCCGGGATCAGCCCCGGGTTTGGGCTCGGGATCAGCCCCGGGCTCGGGATCAGCCCCGGGTTCGGGATCAGCCCCAGGTTCGGGATGAGGTTCGGGATGAGGTTCGGGATCGGGATGAGGTTCGGGATGAGGATCGGGATGAGGTTCGGGCTCTGCCGGTTCCAGCTGCGGTCCCGGGGCCGCCCCGCTCTCCCCATCCTCCATGGGGACACCTGAGCGCAGGTGAGGGCCCGCTCCTGCGCATGTGCAGCTCTCGTTGCCACGGCAACGGGGGGATGCGCTGCGCTCACTGCGCATGCTCCGAGTCAAGAGCGTTCCTCGTTGCTAAGCAACGCTCGGGGGGGGTGTTACCGGAGCGCTGCTGCGCATGCGCAGATACAAAAGCGTCGCTCGTTGCTAAGCAACACGACGTGAGTGTGGCCTGAGCGATGCTGCGCATGCGCGATGGCTCTTCCCGTTGCTTGGCAACGGGGGGAGCATCATGGACGCCTCCCCTCCCCCCCTTTTCCCTATTTTCCCACATCCCGGCGCGTTTTCGTGGGAAGCACCGGGAAAAACGGCACCGGGAGAGCTCCTCCCGCTTTTTCCCGCTGGGATCCAGCCGAAAGGAGCTGGGGTCAGAATGTGGGGAGGCGCTGGGATGGGATTCCCAGGGATTTCTGTGGCTGCTCCGTCCCTGGAAGTGTCCCAAGGAAAAGTTGGAGCAGCCTGGGATAGTGGGAATTGTGTCACCGCTGATGGGGTGGGATGGGATGGGATGGGATTGGGATTGGGATTGAAGGTCTCTTCCCAAAATCAGTTCAGCATTCCAAGATAAAGAACACTCAGGATCCATCCCGAGGGGTTTTTATGGAATTCGGGGATGGGAAAGGGAAGGGAGACCCTTCCCGGAGTCCCGAGATTCCCAGTGAGGCTCCCGGATCCCGAAATTCCTTCTCCAGGAGGAGTCGGGATGGGGCTGGACCCAATCCTGGGGCTGGGAGAGCCGGGAATGTGCAGCCGGATCGGGAAAAGGGATCCCGGGAATGCTGGGAGCCGCTTCCCGAGGCTCCAGGGGCTCCGGGAGAGCTGGGATTTGGGAAAGGGCCGCAGGGCCAGGAGCCAGGGAATGGCTTCCCACTGGGAAAGGGGAGCTGGGGCTGGGAGCTTGGGCAGGAATTCCCAGAGAATCCCTGGGAGCGCCCCTGGACGGGGATCCCTCTCCCCATTCCCATTCCCGGGGATTTTCCAGCCTCCTCCGGCTCCGGGCCGATCCCTTGATCCCCACGGCCAGCTCCAGGATTCCTGGGAATTCCATGAATTCCATGAAAGGCCGGGAAAGGAGCTCTCAGCGTTCCCGGGCCTCTCCCGCCTCCGGGATGCGGGAACGGCGGCGTTGCCATGGGGTTGCCATGGAATTTGTATCCACGGTTTCCATGGAAATGTCAGGAGGCTGGGAATGGGATGGGATGGGGGGATGGGGGGGGGAGCCCCCACATGGAAAAAATTCCAGGCCTTTCCCGGCCTCAGCTTCCCCCAAATCCCGCTCTTTTCCCTTCCTGGAGATCCGAGGGAATCTTTCCTTTCCCAGGGAATTCCGCATCCCTGACGGGGCCGCTTTGGGATGGAGAAGGAGCGGGAACATCCCGGGCAGGGATAAATTCCTGCTGGATTTTTTTGGGATATCCCATTCCCTTGGGAAAAAAATCCAAAGGATTCCATCCGGGAATTCCCGAGACGGGGCGGGGGGGGGGGAAAAACCCGGGATGATCCCATCCCTTTCCTCGTGGATGAGGAAAACCGGGAGAATCCCCCCGGGATCGTCCTGAGCGCCCTTTCCCTCATTCCCAAATCTTTTCCAGGATTTTCCTTGGGGGGGGGGGGGGGGGGAAAAAAATTCCCACTTCCCTAAAAACCCGTCGGGAAGGGGAACGATCCAAGTTAAACCATGGAATTCTCCGCGGGGTTCTGAGGGCCGGGAAGCCCCGAATTCCTTGGAATTCTGAGCTGGGGGTGGGGGGGGTGTGTGTGTGTGTTTGGAATTCCGGCTGGAATTCTCTCTCCCGGTTTTCCTGAAGATGGCAGCAAGCGCCCGCAGAATTCCCGGCGGTGGGAACGGCTCCCTCCAAACCTCGGGAAGCGGCTCCAACTTCTCCCGCTCCCAAATCCCGGCCGGATCCCTCCTCCAACAATTCCCTTGGAAAAAGTGAGTTCGTTATCCCGGTTTTTGGGTGTTTTTTTTGGTTTTTTTTTTGGGAATCCGCAGTTCCAAGCGCGAAATCCCGGCCGTCAACGAATCCCGGCGGGGTTGGGATTCCCGGCTCTCCGTTTCCAATGGAAAAGCGGGAATTTGGGAAGCGCGCGGGGGTGGAGGGAGTGGGGGGGGGGAGCGGCGGTTTCCCGGGAGCCGTTCCCGGAGCGACGGGAATCGCCTCTGGAAAAGCTGGAAAAGGGAGCATGGGATGGCTCCGCCGCCTCCTCAGCCAGCTCTCCTGTGAGGATCCGCCGGGAATGGGGTTCGGGATTCGGGATTCGGGATTCGGGACTCCCGGGATTCCCGGGATTCGGGATGGGGATGGAAGCGCCGTTTTCCCCAGGATTCCCTCCCAAACTTGTGGGAATGAGGTTGGGAAAGGGCCGGGATGAGCGCGGCTCCTTCCCCTTCCCAACCGCCCCGAGATTCCCACCGGGAATTTTCTGGGATCCTCTCCCCCCCTACACACACCCCCCCCGGGAGATTCCCGGCCTTGCGGATCCCTCTGGATCCCTGCGGATCCCGGAGCGTGGGAACTGCGCATCTCCGCCTGTGGGGGAGGCGCTGCCGGAGCTCGGGAATTGCTGCCGGGGATGGGAATGGGGAATGGGGGGGGGCCGGAATCCAGGGATCCGCTACGGGATCCACTCGGGGACCCCGGAATTTGCTCAGGGATCTGCTCCGGGACCCGGGGATCCGGCTATGGGACCCACTATGGGATCCAGGGATCCACGCCGGTATCCACTCCGGGACTCGGGGATCCGCTCCGGGATCCGGGGATCCTCTCAGGGATCAGCTCGGGGGTCTGGGGATCTGCTCAAGGATCCACTCGGGGACCCAGGAATCCGCTCTGGGATCCGGGGATCTGGGGATCCACCGTGGGATCAGGGATGGGATCTGGGGATCCTCCCAGGGATCAGCTCGGGGGTCTGGGGATCTGCTCACAGATCCGCTCAGGGACCCAGGGATTGGCTCTGGGGTCTGCTCTGGGACTCGGGGATCCGCTCCGGGATCCGGGGATCCTCTCAGGGATCAGCTCGGGGGTCTGGGGATCTGCTCACAGATCCGCTCAGGGACCCAGGGATTGGCTCTGGGGTCTGCTCTGGGACTCGGGGATCCGCTCTGGGATCCGCTCTGGGATCTGGGGATCTGCTCTCAGGGATCATCCCAGGGGTCTGGGGATCTGCTCATGAATCCACTCGGGGACACAGGGATCCGCTCCAGGACCCAGGGATCCGCTCCGGGATCAGCTCCAGGACCCCGGGGTCAGCTCCAGGATCTGGGGATCAGCTATGGGATCCGTTGTGGGATCCATTGTGGGATCCGTTGTGGGATCCACTCCGGGGTCTGGGGATCTGCTCACGGATCCACCCAGGGACCCAGGGATCCACCCAGGGACCCAGGGATCCACTCCGGGACTCAGGGATCCGCTCTGGGATCCGGGAATCCTCTCAGGGATCAGCTCAGGGGCCTGGGGATCTGCCCAGGGATCCACTCCGGGACCCACAGAGCCACTCGTGGACCCAGGGATCCACTGTGGGATCTGGCAATCTGATCAGGAATCCAGAGATGGTATCAGGGATCCAAGGGTCCACCCAGGGATCCACCCAGGGACCCGGGGATCCCCTCGGGGATCGGTGCAGGGATCCAGAGATCTGCCCGGGGATCCAGGGATCCACTTGGGGAGCCACCCAAGGCCCCAGGGATTGCCTCAGGGATCCAGGGAGCCTCCCGGGGATTTGCTCCGGGATCCAGGGATCTGCTCAGGTATCCAGGGAACCACCCTGGGATCTGCTCAGGGATCCGGGGATCAGCTCAGGGATCCTCTCTATGGGGCGGCTCGGGGATCCAGGGACCCGCTCCAGGAACTGCCCCGGGATCCGGGGATACTCTCCGGGATCCAGGGATCCGCTCAGGGATCCACTCAGGAACCCAGGGACCGGCTCATGGATCCAGGGATTCATGGATCCACTCAGGGATTCACTCAGGGATGGGCTCATGGATCCAGGGATCCGCTCAGGGACCGTCCTCCGGAGAGAGGGATCTGTCCCCAGGGATCCCGGGATTCCTCCGCTCCAGGGAAGGATTCGCCGTCCCAGAAAAGCCGAATCCAGGTGGATTATCCGGGATCCGGGATCCCGAGGAACGGGATAAGGGAATTCCCTGTGGGGTTTGTGGGGGGGGGGTGGTGGTGTGTGGGATCTCTTTGGGATCTCTTTGGGATCTCTCTGGGATCTCTTTGGGATCCCTTCCCGGCTTTCAGGGTGTCCCAGCTGGAGCGGGGAAAGTTTGGGAGCAGAGGGCAAGGAGGAGGAGCTGAGGGAATGGGAATGATGGGAATGATGGGAATAATGATGGGAATAATGATGGGAATAATGGGAATAATGATGGGAATAATGATGGGAATAATGGGAATGATGGGAATAATGGGAATGATGGGAATGATGGGAATTATGGGAATAATGATGGGAATAATGATGGGAATAATGGGAATGGGGATGGGAATAATAGGAATGATGGGAATGATGGGAATGATGGGAATGATGGGAATGATGGGAATAATGATGGGAATAATGACGGGAATAATGGGAATAATGGGAATGGGAATGGGAATAATGGGAATGGGGATGGGAATAATGGGAATAATGATGGGAATAATGATGGGAATAATGATGGGAATGATGGGAAGGAGCCGGGTGTCCCTGGACACCATTCCCAGGTGGATCCCAGGATTGGGAAGGATCCTCTGGGCCAGGAACAGAGAATCCTGCCAGGGGCTGCGGCTCCATAGGAATTCCCACCTGGAATTTAGGGAATTCAGGGAATTTAGGGAAGAACCCATTCCCACTGGGAATTCCCAGCACATCCAGGGATCGCAGCCCTGGGACTGCTTTTCCTCCCGGCATTCCCAGCATTCCCAAAACCATTTTGGGATTGGGATCAGGATCGGGATCAGGATTTGGGATCGGGA